TTGAAATTGGTAAATAATTCTCGGTTACATCGATCATTTGCGAATATGCCGAGCAGTAATCGCCTCTGATTGCCCGTTAGGCTAATGCCATAAATTGGTAGTATCAGTAAATGTTTGTCCTTGGGCCATATTGTTCAGGATCGGATTCGGGCGTATTGTGGGTGTATACCATTTCTTTTTGAAGCGGATCGCTTCTTCATACATCAAGGATAAGCGGATGTGAAGGAACATTGAAACCAATTCGATTCCCTGTGACTACTGTACTTAGACTAATGAGCGCATTTCTCTAATCGCTTGTTTGGCGGTTTTTGAAGCAGTTTTGACGGCAAGCCACTAGGATCGCAGTTGGATTACATGGCAACCGACCTGAAGCAGTTGATCAAGTACCGACTTTGACGTTTCCTCGAGTAGTACTTCTGATCAACTTCCCACTGCGGTGCCCTCTTTGTTCTTTGGATCTCTGAATTCACGTTTCTCTTATTGTTTACTTCTCATCTGCAGTTGTTTGTAGCTTTTTGATGAATTTTTGTTGAACTGAATTTAAATCACAAATAGCATTAATAGAATCATCCTTTCTGACGTAAGCTGCTGTAAGGAAATGCTGTCGACGATTGACTGCAAATATTTGTGTTCAGTTACAAATTGGGTTTTTCCGGGTACTATAAGGCGAAGAAACTGGCGAAATGTTTATGAGCTTTGCTCACGAAGCTCCTAGTTGCTGACAGACCATTAGATGTGGTGATATTAGCGGAGTGACTGGAAATCGATTCTGCAGATGGAGTCAAGCGTGGCGACGTTGTCCATAATGCTGCGCTCAGCCGTTAAAAGCCGTTAAATTTGCATTTTTTTTCGCAATGTCTGGCAATTCATACGTTGAATTCTGTCCTCACACAGCAGCTATTATGCAGCCACCGCTCTACGCGTTCTTTAGTGCTCATTTAGATTCCATGCATCGAATATATATTCGTTCCATGGCCAGATGTTCTCGCAGAGCGGAAAAGACTCGGCTTTCTCCGCTTGAACATGTAGCTGCTGCTCAGTAGTGTCATATTTTTGGGAAATGGCATGATTTAGATCGAGCGGAGGAGATTTTCGGGTTCTCTTTGATCTTGGGTTAGTTCCCTGTTCGTTTATTTTGAAGCTTGGGAACGTCATTCATCTTCTGATGTGTTGCTCAGGAGCTTTAGTCTATCGATCAGGTCTTCAGCCTAATCTCTTGTCTGTTGCCATTTGCGTTAACGACTTCAAGCTGTTCGATTAGAGCTGTCATATCGGCGTCTTGCTCTCTTAACTCCCTCGAACTCGACTGTTTTATCGGAGCGTTCCTCATCGGGAGACTTTCTAGCATCTTCCTCCCTATTGTTGCGGCAGATGATAGAGGGCAACCCGCTGCCACTGTCCATCACGCCTTAAAAACTTGATTTGTCTTAAAACGTCTCCGTTTTGATTGATAGAAATGACGTCTTGTCAATTTTGATTTGATAGTTTTTTGGTCAGTTGAATATGTTGAATATTTAAATTGTTTTGAGGCCAACGGGTCTCATGTTTTTACCATGAATGTCAAGGATTGGGCATGTATGCTCTGGGGAGTGAGACTTGTCAGTATTGGCCCAACAACGATGATCAACAACGATGACTGACAGATTTGTAAGATTAAGTAGGATTCGTTTCCATGGAGAAATCCCTATCGTGCCCATGCAGCCTGGAATAGTTCTCGGTCTCAATGCCCAACTCGGCTCTGGTTATCTCGAACCCCCTGTTCTCTTACTTCAACTAATTCCCAATACGTAAGAGAATTCGTTTTCATCGATATGACATCTTTGAACATTATCCTGAACAGGAGCAGTTGGACCATGTCAAGTCGAATGTAAATCGGTTTCAGTAATGGAGGCTTAGTTATCAGTGCCCCAACGGATTTGTTTGACGACCACCGCGCTGTGCTTGGGATTAAGGGATTATAGCGCTTCTCGATGGTACTGATGGATAACGCTTGGCTGACTACGAATAGCCAGGGAACTAATACTATTGTTGCTAGTTATCGGGAGCGGAAGGTTTATATCTCGGATATTTGGTTTCCAGCGTGGGGTAAAGGGGATAATCCAGGTTGGAAGAAATAAGTGTCTTGAAAAATATTGACAGTGTTTTACATACCTTGAAAAGGCGATAACATTTGATAGGGAGTGATGAGGACTGAGTCCATCGTGTAAATCTGTGTCTTAAGACGTGCCTATCGAACTGACTTTATTTTGAACCTTAATTGTATGGACCTGCTATTACCCCCAGAGTTTACTGCATTTACTTCTCAAAGTGCAATAAACTCTGGGGAGTGGCAGATGCACTGGCCATTGTTTTTATCACTCGAGATAGTATGCTACCAATAAATCATCCCTACAGATTAATTCCAAGATTATGCGTCTGGTAGCGATCCCTTGACCAGCACCCTATGTTTCCTTTTCATTTGTAAAGGATATATCCATGAAAATTAGGTATGCGGTTTATCTTTGTGCCTCAGGTATTGAGAGGTGTCATAAAGTTAATGAATTTCCGTTAAAGGTCCTCTAATTTACTGGGAACCAACGTATGTAAATTTGCTCCCTTGGTTTTTTTATATTGGGCGAATTGTGTACCTACAATTGATAGGAATGGTGACCCTGAGTAAAGCACTAGCGATCGCTGGCTTGAAATGGTTGGTAACTTGTAGTTATGATGGTCATAAGTTGTAAGCTGAACTCCTTGTAATCTGTAGTCCTTATAAATAGTTGGCATAGGAAGAATATTTTAACCTAGAAAAACAGGTAAATAAAAAATGAGTAAAAGTTTACAATAAACATGTTCATTGCAGCTTAACTGCTGTATTTTTGCAAGTTGACGAGATTCTTGAGAAAAATTGAATAAGAAATGTTCGTTGCTCGTAAGCTATCTACGAAGAAACGGGTCCTTATCGTGATAACTAAGAGTGACTCGTTGAAAATAGTATTTTCTGTACTATGGTTCATCCAATTCCAGTTGGAAACAAGCAGTTCCTCCTCTCTAGGCTATTAGATTTAGCGCCAGAAGAAACCATTAAGCACTGCAACGAGTAGTTTCTGAGTAGTTCTTATTGCATGTTCGTTCACATTTCTTCGTCAGTGTAGCCTTCCCTCTCAAAAATCCGATGACATTTCTCATTCACCCGATGACATTTTATTTGCGTGCGTCATATTGACCACTTCTTCTAATCGGGCGCATTCCGGGCAACCTGAGGTCTCAGTCCCTGCAAAAATATACTCGATCTCTTTCATACTTGCCTTCCTTAGAATCTCGTCCTTCCTTCCGTTAGATCAACTCAGTGCTTTTCCTTTAAGTAGAGAGCGCTGAGATCTTCATTCGATTTCAATACGTTTATGTCGTTTCATAATAATTCTGAGCCTTTCCTCTGAATTCTAAAGAAAGGGACGCAGCCTCGGCTCGACAATTCCCACTTTTCTTCCAATTCCCATCAATCTGAGTCATTTTCCATCGTTTAAAGCTATTTGTTCTGCATAATTTGTATAAATCATAGCCCTCCTGATTCGTGGCCTCCCATAATGGTCGACATATATTGGTTTAATGTTTTGAAACGCTTCCGAAATTGGGCAATCATAGCTTAGAATAATTCTCTCTTGCCTGGTAGGCCACGGCCAGTCTCTAGTCACATTGCTTAGCAAACGTGAACAAAAACAGTGAAATTTTCCCATTTGTCCCAAGTCCACTGAAAAAGTATGTATGAGAACTTGCGCCCAAACTTTGAGCGGCCGAGTTTCCCTGTGACCCTCGAATCCTTGGACTCTTAATATTCACCCACTGAAATCAGCAAGTAAACCTTCATTGGACTTCAGAGCACCCACCTTCAAAACTGTGTAAGAAGGCCGTTTTTTCCAATATTTTTGACTGTGTCCTATCCTCAGAAAATAGGAAGGATTTAAACGAAGCCTTCATTATGATCAATGCGTTCAAGCTAGATTATTTCATAGAGGTCCTTCGTATCAGGGGACTTGTACTCGTTCTGTTTCTGCAACAACTGGCTATGCTCCATGCGTGAGCCGGTGGTTTTTTATCATTCTTACACCGAAGGTTACTTACAAATGTCACAATCAGTTTTGTCTCAGAAACCCTGCAAGCTGTCGGCTTGCTTGTCCTGCTATCTCTCGAGAGCTTCCTCTTTGAAAAATAGAATTTGCTATGCTATCGATAGCACTTTTGCGGGGTAGTTTTTGTGTTTGAAGATTTATTGACAGAGAAATGTCGCGATTTCCGCCCACTTCATCGAGATTGTAGTGACATTTTTTCTGTTCTACATCGCGTTCACTGACGACACTGATCCTAAGAACAATGACGCCTGTAGCTGCTAGGTCGATTATGATTCACGCTTGAATTTATTCAAGGGCCTCGGTTAAGTGGTTGTGTTCCAGTTTTTGCAGACAGTGATGCAGATTTTCGGAAACTTGAGGTTCATCCTCTGTGACATACTTTGTGGAGCTCAGGGTGTTTTCTGCTTGCACGACGAGATACGCCTCAGTGATAACTAATTATCTTTTCGAAGGTCTTTCTGCCCTTACGAAGCTTTCATTTAAGTGAAGTCGCATTTAAATGGACGGTAAAAAAAAATTCCCCATGGGAATGGGCTCGGAAAGGGTTTAATGGGAGAGAGTAGAGATGAATGAGATTCGTAGGATTGCCCTCGCCCTTTTCTGTGCGCTTCTTCCAAGCTTCTTCTTTAGCTTCTGAGCTATCAAATTGAAAAGGTTTCTTTTGAAAAAGTGATTTTTCCGAGAAAATCATTTCTACTGTAAGAAGAAGGTAATCTACAATTCAGGGCCAATTATATCCTATGTTGTTACACCGATTTTCGCCTTCGTTATCTTTTGAGCTACTGACAGTTTCTTAGAGCCCTTTCTTGTTCACTTCCAACTATTGCTCCAATTTTTGCCTCGGAATTGATTTTCAACTTTAATTTTCGTATTTTCAGGCGTCAAAAACGAATGTCGCCGGGTACATCTCGACTATATGAGCTTCAACCGGATCCTTATGATATAACGCAACGGCGAGCAATTCGCATATGTCTATTTACTGATGTTAAAAATGCTGTGAGTACGGTACTTCAAATGTTTTTGCAAAAGGAAGGCCAAGGGATTAACCAGTATTCATTTCGTTTTTTTCAGCATGTCCTTCGCGATAAGTTGCGAAAAGGCGAAATCGATGCTGCTATGATACGGGCCGAACTGGTAAGTTTTCTTCCTCTGCTTTCAAATTTCCATTTAACAACAATCTCGGCCGGTTCTTGGTAGTGGATCACTGGGCCTTGTAAAGTTTTTCAGCATCATTTTTCTTAATGATTTTCCTTTCTTCACGAGTCTCCTTCACTCTCATCATTACAGGTTGTTCCCCACTCTTGATTTTCAATTTCAGGTATTGGAACCGTTCATTGTGTTGGCAGCTGCGAATCGAGCTGTCCACCAAGCTGCCCATAATCGTCTGTCAACTCGAAGTCTTGCTGCAGAACTTGTTTACAGTTTGTCGCCGAGTCGAAATGTACTTTTTTCTGATTAAACTTTATGCAAGACTTGGCAAAAAGATCCCTTCTGAGCTTATGTTTCCAATGTTTTTTTGTTTTTTTCCTTCAGCTTTTCCTCCCCAATTCGCATAGGCTGTTTTAGTCGGGCTTTCAGTCGGTCGGATAGGGTTGGAATGTCGTTGACGACCCTTCTAGAAGTTTTTTCTATGCCCTGGGAGATACCCGGCTCATCTACTGCTTTGGCGGTACCGGAGGTGTAGAATACTCTGCTCCGGCGTCACTTATCTGACCCACCACAAACATACATTTCTTGGGTGACTCTCTCCTGTACTACCCTGGGCGTTATGCATTCGGCCCTATATTTGTCTTTGTTTACTGTTTACCGTAATTTTTGATGTCACGCATTTTCGGGATGGTGAAGAGCTATATACTTTGAAGTAGAGCTGTTATTGAACTAGAAACAACCATTTACCCACCTGACCACTCGTCTCCGCCTCCCATTTTGATTCTTATATTAGAGTGCCTCGTGTTTGAAAAATTTTAACAATCCTGCAGATTTCAGTAAATTGTTTTTAGTATCCTTGGTTTTTTGCAGATCTCCGATTCATTGGTAACATTTGGTATCGCCGATACGAGCAAGAACATCCTTGTATGCATATTCGATGACAAAGACGGGTCAAAAATGAAGAAGTTGGCGAAGGAGATTGAAGGACGACCGGAGCCACTCGAGAAGTTGACTTCGATCATGGATCTTCGCGTTATTCAAAAGGTTCGGGACTGGAGCTAAATGTATATTTATCCAGACTATCTTCAATGCAGAACTAAATTATCACATTCAAAGTCAGTATGGTGGAATTTACTATTAACTCCTCCCCCTCCCCCAACCACCTCCCGTACCAATTGGGAAATTAGAGTGAAAACTAATAAAGTAAATGTGTTCGGAATTTTGTCTTTCTAACCTTTTTAGGATATCCCAGTAGTATTAGAACAGTCTGTTTTCCTACTTTCAATTATTGTCCGGGCCAACCTTCTAGACACAACCTTCACGCTAGGAATCTGGTTAAATAAATATTTCTTAATAGGCTTTTGGAAAATTAACTGAATGATGATGAATTTGCACCGTATGTTTCAGATCTACCAACTGCGGGACGAGAAGTTCAATGAGGATTCGTTTTCGGATCGGGTCCTGACGAGAATCATTACCAAGGACTTTATGTCATAACGGAATGCGCCCGACCGCATCCTTCTGTTTGTGAAACTATCGGCTACAAATGTATAATATAATAGTTGTATTTCATGGGGAGGGATTAGTCGATTTCTCGTCGCCTTTGCATCTCGAGTGAAAATCTCTTCTTGCTTATCCTGTGCTTTGATTTTTGCCATCTGTTAGTGTTGGGCAGCTATTTTTCTGCTAGACATTTGAGTCAAACTTCGCTAGAATTGTCAGTTTTTGCGTGTGATTGAGGTTTGAGGTTGAAAGCCTAATCAATGGATTTTTCTATACATTTTTGTGCAAATTTATTATAATCCTTGATAGGAGGGTACAAATAGTTTACTTATGCTGTCTAGATTGTGCATTACAGCATCTAGTGATTTTAGATAATTATGTAGAAGTGAATCGATTGTTGTAGATTGTTTTCCCGTTCTTAATAAATGTTCCTATGTGGGATTTCTAATTTACTTAGGGAATTATGAGAGTTCACGCTCAAATCCAAGTTTACCGTACGATCCACCTCTTTTGGCGATATTTATTGATAGCAATTTATGAGTTAATCAAGTATTCGATGAGAAAATTCATCCTGCGGCTCTTACCATCCCTCCTCGTAACTAACGCTCGATGGGGGACGGCACGGTCTGCAGGATTTTTTCGTCGTAACTGCTTAGCGGTTACTTTACAGTGACGGGGATTCGGTGGCCGGTGGTATCGTTACGTCTACAGTTGTAAGAGGCAGCCACGATTGAAGCCTCTTCAAGATCCAGCACCCTGAAGGCAGGGTCGACAACAAGCCTCCCCAGGTTAGTGAATTTGGTGGTTTACAATGTTCTAGTAGCAGTAAATACCGCGGAGTACAGGGCTGTAAGGCAACGATGCGTTTTTGTGCTGATCGGCTGGATATCATCCGATCAGTAAACATTCCTAACAACAACATCAAGCAATAGTTATTCGAGGTTAGCTATGCTATAAGCAGTATGAAATGAACGGCAGCATCAAATGTCCTGACGGGAAAAAGATGCCTGTTCATTGGCAGGTGAAATCTATCAGCTAGAATGCCAACTTATGATAAAAAGGACGGCAGCCAGCTACATGATTGAATCTTCAAAGGCACAGTTTACGATAATTTTGGGGTATCCAGTTTTTGACGAATAATTAAGATACGGCCTACAGTAGTACAACGATAAAGAAGAAAGCGAGAAATACATAAAGAAATAAAACTAGTGATGAAATGGCATTCGACGGGTTTGAGGCAGAAAAAAGGCGTGGACCATTTTTGGGTGAGCTGTGTCTGCAGTTGCGTACAACACACCAAACAGCTGTTTTCATTTTTTTGCTGATCAGATTTACTCCCCCGATATTCTATAACTGTTATTCTTTTCTATTCGGCTGGAATATTCGTTCTCTGCTATCGTCGAAAGGATAAAGTGTGTATCTTATGTATATGAATTCATATAGTAGTTTTCTTCATGAAGTTTTGGTTAAGTTGTGGTAATATATATTTTTTATTTTTTATTCGCGCATTCCTTGATTCTTTTTCAATGGAACGTTTGTGATAGAATTCAAAAATATTCCTCAAGAGCTGATTAAAGATAGTGAGATATTTTGAGCAAAATATTGCATAAAATCTTGTAAATATTTTTTATTCGAGGGAAACTCATGCATTTCAGTGCGTAAACAACATTTTATTACTGTTACCCTTTTTATATTGCAATTTCTTCGAACTGAGTTATTGAGATGTTCTTATTAATTGTTAAGAACACTCTTTGACCTTGATTTGAAGAATTTTATGCAGTGAACCCAATATTCGCATGCAATCCCTCAGAAATGGCAGTATGGTGAGTCAAATTTTAAAATTTCATATCTTACTCTTTTTCTTTGAACTAGTTTATATATTTATAGATATTGTTCTGTTTAATGTAAGTGCCTCAATCTTTATATGTTTTGCATACGTATTTCGCTGCGTATGTTTATTTAGCACGTGAATTTCGAGAAAAGTAGGGGCGGAGAGTTTTTTTTTTTTACTCTACTGATTATTTCTCTTTCACTTGGTCATAGTTATTAATACGTAAAAGCAGTAATGTATCTTGTTAAGAACATTGTGTTTGTTTGCTTTGAACCATTTTCTTCACTTACACATGAATACTGCACGTAGGACCACCACTTTCGCTGAAATTCAGGCGCGGTTAGTTCCCTTTGGATGTTAACTATACCATTTCTACTTTTAAAGATGAGACTATAATGAATAAGCAGGAAAAGAAGAAGTAACATAGTTGACATTCAAAAGGAACTTATCGCGTCTGGATTTTAGCGAAAGTGATGGTCCACGTGCAATACTCAAAGCAGACAAACACAATGTTCTTAGCAAGATACAATACTGCTTATATGAATTATACCTATGATCAAGTGAAAAAGGAATAATCAATAGTGTAAAAAATTACCATCCCCACTTTTTTCGGAATTCACGTGCTAAATAAACATACACAGCAAAGTACGTATGCAAGACATATAAAGATTATGACGCTTACATTAAACAATGCAATATCTACAAACACGTTGCTGAACTACTTTAAAGAAAAAGAGCAAGATATGAAATTTTACAACTTTAACCCACCACACTGCCATTGTCGAGTGCATGCTAATATTGGGTTCTAACCACATAAAAGTTAACCAAAACATCATGCAAATAACTACTATATGAATTCAAAAACATGATTTACTAATCTGAACCTTTCGACAACAGCAGAGAATGAATAATTTCAGCCGAATAGAACAGTTATAGTATAAGGATACAGTCTAATATAAATAATAGTCAGACTCGGTCGATTAACTTATCGTTTCTTCACAAATGTTGCTCCGATACGAAAGTGGTGCACGACAATTAGATTCCGTTGTCAGCCTAAAGGGGGTGGGGATTTTTCACTATACAATCTCTGGTCGAGTATTATTCCCTATCCAGGACGTTTCGACCTAACTTCGACACATATGGTACCACAGGGGACTCGAATTCATACTATGTGGAAATCTTAGAAACCAATTTTAACGTTAACCGTGCACTTATAAATCGAGAAAATCTTTAAAGGCACAGCTCACGATAAAAATGGTTTCTGAGTTCTCCCCCCAGGAACGCTCAGTGGTTCCCAAAGGTTACACGGGGGACGCTGTCGAGTCGAGCTTCAAAACTCAACAGCTAATGCACATTAGGAGCCCCGTTAGAGGATCGCCCGGACATCCCGCCCCTCGATCGATATCACCTCAGACGAGTATCGAGACGATATAGATTGCAATATTCGTTCCAGGACCCACAAGCAATCAGCTGATCGCCGAGTAATGTGACGAAGAATTTCTCCTATTCTTTTATACTTTGTCAATCTTTTTACTGCTGCGAACCCTTGGTTTAATTTTCTAGCTCAAGAGGCTGAAAAAAGTGGGCTATTTTTGCTGTTACTTGGGTTTTTCGTTAACTTATGCCTATGAGTAAATGAATTTTCGCTTACCGTAGTCGGCTATCCCCACCACGATCCTAAGTACGCAATGAGACATGTTGTATATCTCGTCCAAACGCCCCACTCTTCTTCATTTTTCTGGTCTCATTCTCGTCCAGCCCCCTTTTTAACACTATTTCGAAGCGTTTTTCCACTTTGGAAACGCCGATTCACGCAGTTTCTTTGCCTTCGTTACAGTGTTTTACATCTTGTCTTCCACTTTTCGTCATAACCTGGATTACCCAAAATTCTCATGAACTGTGCCTTTAAGTGACTGATAGGCGTGTTCGTTTGACGTCTTACGGCCAGCCGACGTCACTGTTGGCGTCAAAGCTTGCAAAGCTAAGTTTAAATGGTCACCTACTTCGCCGAATGAATAACAGGTGGGGTTTCCAAGTCACAGAACTGCTTCCAAGAAATGAAACAAGACCGCTACTATGACGACTCCCAACCCAGTCAGTCGATTCGTTTACCGAATGTTTTTGGGGAGATTGTTTTCATTGGTCGCAAGTACCGAGAGATCGGGTAGTGTGGAAGAGCTGTGAAAGAGTTGTAAAGCCGATTTTGTTCCGCACTGCAGACTGCATTTCAGTAACATTGTGAAGTGATCTCACAAACACAAGGAGATTTTAGGAAGTCTTATCCGTATTGGACTTTACTTGTGGGTGACCGACCCCCATCCCATCGCATTCATTTCCCTTGCGTTCATAATATCATCTAATATTGAATGATGTAATGTAGTATTAATGTACTCAATTATGTGAGCGTCCAAAAGGCCTAGACCTGGGGAATATATGACATCCTAGGTCTCCGATCCTGAGCAATATGGAGTCAGAAGGGAAAAAAACAACCCGGCGTTACAACTCTTCAACACTTTCTCCTTCTTGAAGTCGAAAACATGTCTTGACTTTTGATTTTAAGGAATATCCGAGCATCATGCTCCTCGCTGATTGTGAACAGTATGGTTGCTTGCTGAACATCCTGGGGTATCCCAAGGCCGCTTGTTCGAGAATGTGTCTATATATGCAATAATACAGGGGCAGAATCAACACTGATCTGGAAATTTTTCAGATGCACCTGTGTGTATAATTTGCTGCTGTTGCGTCAGTGGAAACATCATCACTGGTAAGTCTTTTTTCTAAAAAAAAGCAAAAATTACAAAGGAATCTGGTTTTCAGAAGGAACCTGCTTCCTGAGAACGATTGTTCTGATGCTCCATCGTAAAAAGGACAGGCAAAGNCGACATAAGCTGAGGACGATAAATAAGCCTCACTCCATCTTGGTCAGCCAACACGCAGAAGAAGACACTGTAAAGCACTCAGACTTCCCTAAAAATGACCCTGTTGAGCCGATTTCAAAGAAGATGAAAGAGCTTAACCATGACAACGAATCTCCCGCGAGTAGATTTGTTATTACCTCTGTGAGGACTAAATTGAGCAATGCAAGAAGTTTGACGGATCCACCGGCAACGGAAAGAAGTCTTATCTTCAGTTGTGAAGAAAATGTTGATGAGAATAGTCCTGCTCGAGATCCTAATGAATATCTCAAGGAATTGACCGCTCATGCTCTGAATGGAATGACATCGTCAGATTTCCGTGACAGGATGTTATCTTCTCTTCGCACATATAAAGCTATGTCGACATTGGATGCTGGAACGCGACCAGTTTTTCAACCGTATTTACGTCGAAATCTTTTGTATCAAATGGCATTCGCAGATCGAGCTGTTCCCTCTTTTACGTTTGGTGAAGATGAACCACCATTAGTATGGCCTTCGAAGCCTATCCGATCACCTGTGCGGAGAACTCCTCGAGAAAGGAAGGAACGTCTTTGCGATTTGGTGGAAGCGCTATTGTCTAGAAATTCTATTGAGGGAAATATCCGCGAGTTTGAGGACATCCGAAATTTCCACTTTTCCATTGGAACTTTGGCCGCGTTCGAGAGGACCAAGGACAGGCGTGTTCTTTACCGAAATCGAGCATACAGGGTATTTCTCAAAGCTAATGGGATATTTCATCCGCACTTTATAGAGGAATCCGTTGAGAAGTCGCTTGATAATGGTTGTATCGGTTCTCCGGCTCAATCAGCATGTATTTCCCAGGACTCGGCAACTTTGTCCTTCAGAATGGTGTGTCATCATCTTTTGGAAGGTGAACGATTAGCCAAAGTTCAAGTTTACACAGTACGTCAGAGAGGAGATGTTTTTGAACAGCCAGAGAGACTCCCATCGGCTACATTCACCGTTAATGTAAATGTCCCAATGTCCCCGGTTTCGATCGACGTACCCACAATTCCCAGTGATCCACAGCTTCGGGTGTATATTGTGGTTCGAGTGGACGTCACTAACAATTTGAAAGGGATTCGCGTTGATGGTCATGCTCTTCGGCATCTACCCAGTCGGATAATGCGTTCGGATACCGCCAACCAAGATCATCCTGTTATTTTTGAGCATACGCTTCTGGGAACAAAGGCAATTTACAGAAACAAAGCTCCTTGGAATGGTGATGGAGGGTTTATAGTAGGCGAGAACAACGTTGTACTAATTGAACAGGAGAAACTGACCAACGATATTTCTTCTCCAATGATTGTATCCGAACTGGAATACTGGAGTAAACGTCTTCATACGAATCCATTTCTTCAAATGAGGGTTATTTGCGGTCCCATATACGAAGATGATTCTGATTGCAGCTTTTCTGAGCAAAGTTCAAGGTCATCAGATGGAGTTGAAGGGGACGATGAACTCTCGGCTTCTTCTGCATTTCGCCCATTGAAAAGCATGGGAAGAACCCATCTGGCAATCGTGCAAAACTGGCTACGATTGGAAATCCCTCCTTTGATAACATATCGTATCTCATCGGGTATGGTTCCTCGTGAAGACAGTGATAAGGCAACCAATCTCTTCGGAATCGAGCCCACATCAAGGGTTTCGAACTATGAAAATTTGACAGAGGTTCAAAAAATGGGTTGGTTGACGGTGATGGATCAGTATGAGACAGAAAAATGTATAATTTGTGGGAGGTCCTTTCACAACATGTACACTCTCATGCTACATTACCATTTATCTTATCCTCGTCTGACATTCCAGCTCAACTTTCGTATAGATCCTCAGGATGAAAACTGGCATCGGCTTCACATCGATGTTTTCCTAAATCCTAATTTCGATGATGTAAATGAAATTATCACTGATGGAAGAGGTGAATGGATCCGTATAGGTGATCCGATGTACATATGGACCCGAGATCAAGCGAAAGAGCTCAAATCGAAGCTTCGCATGGACCTTACCATATTTTGTGATTCACTGAAGCCTGTAGAACATGTCCTGGATGATCCCGTCGAAGAATGCCGCTTCATCCATCCAGAATCAGGTCGATGGCTTTACCGCAGTGAGCGGTTACCTCGCTATGCCCGCCATCTTCCTGCTCCAGGCCACGAAGTGCTTATTCATAACACCACAAGACGTCTGCTTGATTTTGTCGATCTTTCTGATGGTAGCAAATGGTTTATGATTTCATGGAACACCATGCTAATTACAATGGGCAAAGCACGATGTGATGAAGCTGGTCCATACTGGTTAAATCGGCTATTCTTAGAGCTCCATATGGATACCTTAGTACGTTTTAAGCAACGAAGCCATTTTATTTACCAGTTGAATACACAAACCCAAAGAGGTCGCCCAATAAGCGACTTGGAAGATCTCGTGCTCCGATTATACCATGCCAGACGTGACTACGATCCTTTACTGGATGACCTTCATCCCTTAAGGGATTGGATCTTTTCCGAGCTCAAACGAGGATACGAACGCTATCGCTCTGATCTGGATAAGCCACACAAGGATTCATCTGGTACACGCCGTTCCTTTCCCAAAATGTACCGTACGGATCCAGAAACGGTATCCAGTGAACAGCTACACAGATTATTCATGGAAGTACTTGAGGCTGGTGTAGTGGTGCCATTCAATCATCCATTCCGAAAGTATCTACTGAATGTTGTTGATGTCTTGTTCGAAGGCAAAATGCCTCCATGTATCGCCCGCCTACGCGATCAAGACGATTTTCTGAGATGTCTGATTCGATAGGAGCAACTAGAAGTTGGTATGGTGCTTCAGGGACCTCTTTCACGCGCTAAGTTTCGTTGGTTCCATTGTTTTTAAGTGGTCCACAAGGGTTTCCTCGTGATACATTTTTATCATGCTGTTTGGGTCAATTCGTCCTGGTAGATTTTACAGAATTTCATACCCCGAATGACCCAACTATTGAACTTTCTAACTATCTCTCTTCATCCATTACATTGTTGTGTACCGTCATTTGTTCTTATCCGTTTTAAATACTTGACTTGTTCAGCGGAAGTTTAGGTCCGCTTCCGTTTATGGATTTTTGGTACGAGTAACTTGTTGAGCTGTTTTTTCCTCTTTCGACTTCAATCCATAGCTTTTCGATTCGTTATTGAGGACAGCAATCATCTGTATCATTTATTATTTTAATGTATCATAATGTATAACTAGTGGTGTTTGATTATATAAAAATGTTTCACCGATGCTTGCACATGTAACGAAATCATAGAACTGTGCACCAAATAATGACATGTGTTTGTGTTTATTTTTTGTCAGTACCATAAAAAGTCAACAAAATTTGCATTGTTTACAGAGCCTCTGAAATATTTTTGCTTTCAGAGACGGATGAAGTTCCATTCAAAGCATTCCGTCTGTACAATTTTTAACAATTTATAGTACTCAAAAGCTAGTAGGAAAGGTCCGATGATGCCGATTGTAAGGCTTCTGGCTGAGTTGCACATATCACCGACGCAGCCACAGTTTCGCTCATCGCTTGGACCATCACAGCCAGTCTACTGAATCTTGAAGTATAAGAGGGAAAAGTAATAGGCTTCGACCCCAATAAAAACAGGTTGTTTTTCTTGAAAAACTTTAAGGCTTTAAGGGCCACAAAAATATTACCATCACTTAGCCATGTCTAAACCTTGTGGACACCCTCATAATCAACCAAATCAATATAGCCACCATATAATATTTATTATGTCATATTCATTACATCATACATTCACTGTAGTTTTTTTGTGTTTATACAGCTTATTTATAATTTGTGCAATGAAAATCACATATATATTAATACGTACATATTACATTTGCAACTCGTCGAAGACCGCAATCCCGTCCTCGTTCCCTGGCTCTCGTAATCTGGAAACGCATATGGTTCAAAAGGCCTAAACCTCGGAAAATATAAACTCCCTAAGCCTCCATTTCTGAGGCATATGGGGTTTAAAAGAAAATGAGCTTTCTTTCAACTCCTTCCTCTCATTGAATTCGTGAACATGTCTCGAGCTTTGAAATCAGGGCAGTCACTCCGAACTTCAAGCTCTTCGTCTATTGTGAACGGCATGGTTATTTACTGAACATCGTGCTAAGCTATACTGTTGGCCGCTTTCTCGAGGATGCATCATCAAATGAAATCAAATGCAGAAATACTGGAATAGAACCAACACTGATCTGAAAATTTTCAGATGCGGCCGTGCGTCTTGCTTGCTGCTGTTGCGTCACTAGCAACATCATTGGTACGTTTCTTCCTCTAGATCAACAAAAAACAAGTTAAAATCACTAGAATTATGATTTCTTTAGAGTTTGTGAAAGATTTTTTGATAGAGATATGTATTCCTGAAGAACACAAGATTCATTACAGAGACTGGATGCGGCACACGGCGATACGCTTGACAGAAAATCTCCTCAACAGGCAACTCATGTAGCACCGCACTCCAGAATGCGATTCCGAAGACAACCTAGCCCTTATTCTGGCTTTGGACCTGGTGGACCTTATCCTAGAGGGCAGGTAGGAGGTCCTTACGGCGGACCTTATCCTGGACGGCTCGGAGGGCCTTTCCCTGGAGGAGGTTTCGGGCCTGGAGGACCATTTCCCAATGGACGAGGAGTATACCCGTATGGAGGACCCGGAGGTCCGTTTTGGAATGGATATGGTGGACCTCCATATGGAGGACCTACAGGACCAATTGGATACCCGTATGGCGGTCCTGGAAGACCCTATGCTGGAGGAGCAGGAATGGGCCCTTACGGAACAGGAGCAGGAGGAGGATCAGGAGCTCAAATAATTCCAAACAATGGACCTGGTCCGTGGTACTGATTAGGTTGAATGGAAGAGCTCAGCGGTGTATTATTCCATTCTGAAGACGCTTCCTGACGCCCAATTAATATTCAAAATATTCAAACATCAGAATAAAGTTTTTCGCCACGTTTGTGAGATTACGAAGGCTTCTTCTCATAGCTATGAGATCAAACCATTTTTTTTATGCCAGAATTCACCTTCTAGAGATAATTTTACTTTCACGAGAAATAAGAATTCAGAATTCGGAGCACTGCTTCCCAGTACCACTCGGTTCTGCTATAATATACCTTCAGAACAGGTGGAGGG